CGTCTCCTGTCCGGTCAGCGAACACATGTCCTTCGTTCCAATATGTGGATGGATACGTGTCCACCAAGTTACCAGGGGCCTTGATGTAACCTGGTTCTTTCTATGAACTAATGTGTTCTTGTAAAAAGAAACTATATGGAGGGGTCCAGGGTTTTGGATTCTCTCTTAACTAGAAGAACAAGCATTACTGCTCCCAGCTATAAAAACTGTGTAAGCAAACAGGGGAGAAGGGATAGTTTTGTCCCTTCATATTCTATAGTTTTTTTTCCATAAAAACTGTGTAAGCAAACAGGAGGAGGGTCTGACGCCTGGGCCCGGGCGGTCAGCGGCCAAATTGTGAATTCCGAATTCAGTTTAAACCAAATTTCGAATTCGGGATATTCCGAATTAAAAGTAGAAAAAGTAGAAAACGGTTGAAAAATGGTTAAACCGTTTTCGTTCCGATTTTGAATTTCGTGTTCCGAATTGCAAACCGAATTTAAATTTGTCCCAAAATACGAATTCGATCGGATCAAATGTAGAAAACGATACGGTTCGATACGGGATATTTCCGTAACGTTTTTGTCCCTAGACGCAGATGTGTGGGTTGTTCTATTCATCGATAGATGCATGAGTAAGACGTGGACATGACGTAACAATTAATCAACAAATTAAGTGAAAAATCATGTTCGTTTCTCTTATAATCCATCTTTTTCAGCTTGTTTTTCAGTCGAAACAGTATTTTTCTCTCACAACAAATCAGTCAGAACAATGTTTCAGCTTATTTTTTCAGCGAAGCGAGCGGAGCCATTATGTTTGGCTGACCTGCCAAAAAATGACCACTTGAACAACTTTTACTCTTTTAAGAAACGGAGATATTTGAGAAAACCGGTGGCAACAAATTATAAAGAATAGGAAGGGACAAAACAACTCCTCTCTCTCTCTCTCTCTTTGCCCAACGGCCAGCTGTCAAGTCACCTTGATCCTTGCGAGTTGCGACAGAGCCTAGCAGGAACAGTACGATTGGAATACACCACATGTAGACTGCCCCAACCGGCACCATAGCAAGTCGCAAAAAAAAAAAAAAAAAAAAAAAACACTGGCACCATAGCAGTCACTCGCTCATGTAGGAGTACGTGCGTTTGCTCTAGACGTGGCGGTAGATTAGTGCGCATGCACTTGGTCGTATGCTTAGGTGTGGAAATGGTCATCGACACCGACTCCGGTTTTACCATAGCACCATACCAGGCACTACTAGAAGAATATTACGAGACATGTCCGGAAAATAAATAGAGACTGTCTTTAATAATGTATAATCGACTATTCACAGAGGTGATCGTTTTAAGATACTCGCTACTACTAATTGTTTAATTACAAAGGTGGACACTGTAAGGGTACCATGAAATTGATTAACAAAGGCAAAACTATTAAGAGCCATGTCTTTAGAAATAGTTTTATAAAAAAACAATTTATAACTTTTGCATATAAAGTCATATGAAGATGAACTTTATATCAAATTTGTAGAGATCGACACGATACATAACTTTGTAATTGACAAGTTTTTTTATTTGAAATTGTTTAAAGCGCTAAAATTTTGTTTTAATTTCTCAGAAATAGAAATTTATTTTTGAATTTTTGAGTAATCTCGGATGTTGATATGGTCTATACCAAAGTTTTAGTTCTCAATATGTTTTGGTTAAAGTCGTTAAGAGTCCCAAATATGTGTTTAAAATTCCTAGATTTTGATATTCAAGTTTTAAAATTTCCAAATGACATGACCTCAACTATTGATATGGTCAGTACCAAATTTGTAGTTTGGTTGACGGTGATCTACAACTCTGTAGTTGCCAAGTTTCTTTAGTTATGGTCATTTAGAATCCCAAATATTCAATTTAATTTCTCACATTTTACCTATTTTTTTCAAATAATCCTAGATGGAGACATGCCCTATACTATACATAAGTCATAGTGCTTGACAATGTCTAAAATTTTAGAGTTGATTTTTTTCATTTGATATCATTCATGTCAAAATATTTAATACAAGATTAGAAAATGCTAGTATAAAACTATAACATCTTATGCTCATTCACAAGTAACTATACAGAGAAATGTGTCATGTGGGACTAGAGATCACAATTTCAAATTTATTTTAGTTTTCACCTTTTTTTGTTTTCTGGAATCATTAATAGATTTACAGAGGAGCAGCCTAGGGTTGGTAGGCAAGGAAATATGACCTACGTACCAGGCAGTAAAACAAACCATTTTTTTTATGTTGTTGTGTCTGGTGATAGTCTTAGGATACCTCAGCTTCACGAGCAATCACTTTTCAACTAATTACAAATCCATACAAACATCAGAGTACATCAATGTGGTTAGAAAACTTAGTTTTGGGTACAAACCTTCTTATAGGCTAAAATAAATGAAACATCATATATCTAGATGCACTGCAGCGAAGCTTGGTGGAGTCGATTTCCATAGGCAAACTTGAGTGTGAACAAAACCACCTACTATTCCCATCACTTCAGGAAATGGTCAGCACCAAAGAACTTTTATGGAAATAGAAATAAAAGGAATCTAGAGATCCTAATAGTTGTGTTTTATAGTTTACATCCTTAGCGCGCAAGTATAATGATAATTAATACAATATCTCATTCTCCAAACCATCTCCTACTCTCACTCTCATCATCCTGGTCTCATGATAAGTCTCACCACTCAAAACTTTTCTCACAGCACCCTCAAACCCTCTCTAAGAGATGAGCAAGCCTCCACACTCCCCTCGTCTCGATAGCTTCTCCTCGTCTCAATAGCTTCTTGGGGTCAGGGGGGGGGGGCGTTGAGGCAGTACAAGAGGAGCTAGGAGGCTGAGTACCATCCACATGAATAATCATGACTGGGATCGCGGCTATATATACGTACAGTTCTTACTCCGTAGTGTTTGTTTCACTATGATCCATGGTAGCCCATGTCTAGGTAGCCATCGCTCAAGAATTAGCCAAATGTCACCGAGCTACTCCCAAGAGAGTAGCATAAGACATGACACAGGCTTAGGATCATGAATATTGGGGTAGCAGGAGCAGTCTCCCCTTCACATGGTGCACCCAGGGCCCTGTGGCCATGTCTACCCTCACTCTCATAGCACTGCTAGTCCGCACTAATTCAATAGAATGGGCTCGACCTCATAAGTGGCATGTAGAGTGCACGTATCCCATATAGCAACATAACAATTCTTAATTTGGCCAAAGCGAGCACTTTCGACCAAAGACTCACCTCTTGTACATTCCCACCAGAAACCACACCCGGGTTACTTTGTGCACCCCACCACGGTATCTTCTCACTTTAGAGAATATGTCTCCAAAGAGAGGGTAAAGACAAATAATATCTCCAAATCTCCTACATCACCACCACCCATATCAGGATTCATCGCTCTCGTATCGTGTTATACCATCTATATATCTCATGGGAAAGCCTCACATCTAACCTTTGTGTTAAAATACTAGTGGTTGGCTTAAGCCTGCCACTTGTGTAAAATGATTTACTGGTGGTAACGTTATATAAAGCCAACCGTTTGTGTAAATCTATTTACACTAATGGTTCTCAAGCTAACGCTAGTGGAATGTCACTATTTCCATTGGCCTTTCCTACCGGCGATTGAAAGATGAAAATATGCAGTGTGTAAAATCGTTTCATTACTAGTGATAGGATCTTAATAATTATTCATATCCTAGGCTTACGATCTGGCAGTGAAGCTAGCTCACTGTCAGCTCTAACACACCAGCAGTAATGGGCGAGTAGGGATGGTGTGTTCTGCAGTAGTGAGCCATAGACCACCATTGCTCCTTGACTTCTGCTACTACATACTGCCCTACGAAGTGTTATAGTATTTTTCACTCTGCTGCTGCTGTTGATTTTGCATTGGTTGCTATCATCAACATTGTTGACGTTCAAGAATTGCTACTAGTATAGGCTTCCGCTGCACCGTCGGTATTGAGCTTCGGATTGCTCTATTTCAAATCGACATCTTGAGCTTCATTTCTTCTTCTAGGATCCGTATATGATCTACATAGTAGTTTTGCACGATCTTTGAAAGCTAAGCCATGTATTCTGGTGGTGGTTTCCTTGCAAAGCGTGAGGTACACGGGCCTGAAGGGAAGACCATTGTTTAATTATATGATGCCCTTAATTAGATGCCACACGTCCTATTCAAACTGTAATCTGAATAAATTGTTGTATTTCTAATGGCATCTAGACCAGCAGGCTGAAAACTGAACCAATCATTATTGTTGAATGTATCAATTAATTTACATTTCATACTAGTAACAAAATAAAGAATACAGTAAAAACCCACTTTGACTGCTTCATCCTAGAGGACATCGAATAAAAGTCGTGCGCGACTTGTTTCCCCCGTTCTTTCCTTTTGGCCAGTTTAATTTGTGCCATTGCATCCCCTAGTGGTAAACATGCTACATCTTTTATTGTGTCAACCTGTGGTCACTCACTCACTCACCAGTGGTCTGAGATAAGTGGAATTAATTGTGCCAGCCTAGTTAACTCGACTATACAAAGAGCTGTTATACAACTGTACTATCAATATGCAGGACTGTAGGAGTACTATATTTCACATACGTAGGCAGTCTAATTCTAATTCTAAACGTCATTGATTTCACTGTTGAGGGAGCGATGGGGAACAATGAACTTATTGCCATGCCCGCTCTCAACAACACATGTAGCTCTGGTACTTGATTGTAAATGCCCGGCTCCATTTGGATAGTAGCTAGTACTCCAGTAATGAAGTTGGCGTGGAGATGTGTATCACGGTTCTGCTGGTAACAGCCAACCGTTCAGTGCACTTATTTTTGGTTGAGTTACTTCGGCTCCAGCATCCCGTCCATTAGCTCCGTTAAGCCATGGAGGCTTGTACAGCTTGCAACCATGCTTTGCTGACTCTATAAAATGCAGGCCACTGCTCTTCCATATTCTCACCCCAAAGGTCGCAGTTGAGCACTACAGCAAGAGTTGTAGAAATGGCAATCAACAAGTCTGTAGTTCTGCTTGGTGTGGTTTTGGCCTCTCTCCTGCTCGGCTTCCAGGATGTTGTGTATGTCAGGGAGCTCACTGACAAGCCAATGGTTGCTAATCCGTCTCTCTCCCTAATTTTTCTATTTGTGTGTGTTGTGTGCATGAATTACGTAGAACCATTTTAAAGAAGAAATTACATGGGGAACTGACATATCTTTGTGTGCTTCATGTTTCTTCATTCATGCAGACTCTGGAGTGAAGAATGTGAAGCCTGCAGGAGAGCCTGGACTGATCAAGGATGAGAAGTGGTTTGGTGGATACAAGCATGGTGGTGGAGGGTATGGAAACAATCAGCCTGGATATGGCGGAGGAAACAACCAGCCTGGGTATGGTGGAGGATACATGCCTGGACATGGTGGAGGATACATGCACCATGACCATGGTGGTGGCTATGGGTCTGGATATGGAGGCCATGGATGTGGATGTGGATGTGGAGGTGGGTATGGCAGTGGCCCGGCCCCGGGATATGGAGGTGGCAATGGCAATCCTGGATACGGCGATGGCAATGGTGGTGGCACTGGCGGAGGAAATGGCAATGGTGGTGGGTACGGCGGAGGTGGGGGCTATGGAGGCGGATACGGTAGTGGTGGGTACGGCGGAGGTGGGGGCTATGGAGGCGGATACGGTAGTGGTACTGGTGCAGCACCAGGAGGCGGATATCATGGTGGTGCAGGGCACTATGGTGGGCGGAACTAAGAATAACAACTCCATATGCTAGTTTATGTTAAATAAATCATCCATGTTCATGTGACTGAACAATTAATATAAGCAGTGAGGGATCTTGTCTCGTGTTATTTGTGTCATCATTTGTATTTGCTGCTTTAAGAAGAATGTACATCGCTATTTGTATGTCGGACTTATTGCATGGAAGGTATCTACCACTTGTGGTCTGCTGATCATTATCTGTGGAATTCAGGGATTGGGTCTAGCCGGCCGTCTCAGTATGGTTTCATCCAGGTCACCAGATTTGGGCTGATCTTAAGTTTAAAAAAAAAATCTATCTGGGAGATTGTTTGAAGTAAACGTGACATTTTGCAGCAGCACAAAGGACTGGAAATATATCCAATGTGGAAATTGTTGTATACTAGCTAATGCCTTAAAACGAAACCACCAGGAAAAAATATTTCCAGTCATTTCGCAATGAAACCGTCAAAATTACATGTAAAGCTTAGCTTCACTGTCACAGCTGGCACGGAACTTCAAATTCATCAGCACGCATGAGCTTTAATTCAATTTGGAGAATTTCATATAACACATCCAAGATTTGATGTCATATGGAGTAAATCAGAATTCAGAACACATCTCTGTCATCACGTATAGTAAATATAACACGTCGAAGATTTGATGTCAAATGCAGCAATAATATTATATTGTCTGTGTCCCAAATATGCAAATAGCTATGGAGAAGAGCAAAAAACTATTCTTGTTCTTCAAAAAATTGCCCATCAACTGCTTTAACAGTACCATTCCTGGACTGCAAGTCTGCAAGTAAATTTAAGATGGTAGACCATCGTACAGACCTTTGAGAAAGCGGCGTTGCTTGTCAGCATCATTAGCCACTTCATTTGGAGCATAACGTGACAATTGAGCAAACTTATCACGGTACTCAGCGACGGACATGGATCCCTGCTTCAGAGCTCTGAACTCCTCCTGCTTGAGCTCTATCAGTCCCTCAGGTATGTGATAGGATCTGAAATTCTCTTTAAACTCCTGCCAGGTAATAGGAGGAGCATTGGCGGACGTCCATACTCGAATGACTCCCACCAGTCTTGAGCTTCTCCCTGGAGCTGTCCTGAAGCGTACAACACCTTCTGTTGATTATCACATTGTGCTATGTTGAGTTGCCTCTCCACTGCACGAAGCCAATCATCTGCTTCCAGTGGATCAGTGACATGAGAGAACACCGGGGGCGGCCCTTCAAGAATTCACCACGCTTATCACGTGGTGCTCCACCACCCTGTTGGTTCTGCTGATTCTGCACCAACGCTTGCATGATCTGTGTCTGTACTGCCAAGAGTTGCTCAATAGACGGTGGCGGTGGTGGTGGTGGATGTGGGGGAACACCTCCACGACCTCGGTTTCTTCCTCTTCCCGACATCTTCTATCAAACATTCAAAATTTAGAAATCTCCAAGTTAGAATACATTCTAAAAATTTTCTGGACGAGTCTCAACATCAGCAGCTCTGTAAAACAGTCATATCTCGAGTTCCAGAATACCAAATAAGGCGTACTTTATATGGTTGGAAAGATTAAGAAATTATCTACAACTTTTATTCAGACCACATTCCCAGATTCTGTCGTTAGGTTACTCAAAAACAGGATACAACCGAAACTATTTCCAGATTCCAGACTGTGTACAAACTTTAACTTGAAACAGAGATATCTCACGAACCAGATCAGATATTGGGGTGATTCTAGAGGCATTGGAAAGATACTTAAGTCTAGTTATTCCCATAAAAATTTCATAATTTTTGGTCGTGAAGATTTTAATTGGCATTAAGATAAAGTCAGACTGCTCCGAAAAACAGATTCCGAGAGAAGAAGATGTAACAAACCCAACTATTTATTTATTGACCCAATCTTTAATATTCTTAACTATGGAACTTGCGGACATGCTCACAAAGTTCCAGCACTCATTACAAAGATCCAACTCACTCATAAACATAATAACAAATCAACTAAACACACCAATGTCCACACCGCACTAATAGACTCGACTAGACTCAACTTAACTCGTTCTAATATCGTGTTATTACATAAACAGGGACTCCAATATTTATGGGCGATACTCATGGGGTAGCTTCCCGTACATATTTGGCAAGTTGAGGCACACCCTTTGTTCATCAATCACCTGTCGGTGTCTTTTTATAGTTTTCTGCTATGCCTTCAATTGATCCTCTATTCGGTGAATCTTAGCCACGGACTCATAGCCAAAGTGTACCATCGCCTGGGTTGTTGGATCCATGCCCTGTGGGTCCATCACCGCCCATTCCAATTCTTGGTGTTGGTGAGGGAGGAATCGATATTGGTCATTCTTCATGTCCTCAAATCGACGTCCACGGAGGTCTATGCAAGCTTCAGCGGCTGCATCTTCTATGCCGTCCTCCATGGTAGCACGGTGACCAAGGTGTGCATAGTTTGAATCCAGCTGATATGCGCCTTTCTGTTCATCCTTGATGGTGATGCACACCTTGGTCTTCCAATAGGTGTCTTCAAGAGGGTGTGTATGTTCTTCGCAGACGTATTCTACAGCTGCATCCCAGTCGCTGTAGTAGGTCTAAAGCATGCTCATGAGTCGGTGATGTGAAACAGAGGATTCACATCCCGGCTTATACCACACCTTTGTTGTCCACCCCAAGGGCGGGATCGGCTCATCTTCTTCGATAACGTCTTCCTCGTCATCATCGGACAAGTGGATGACCTCGACTTCTTGGGGTTCCTCCTAGACTGGCTCAGGTGTAGGTGTTGGCGGATCAAATTCTTATTCTTGGGGTTCTTCCTCCTCAGGCTCCATGGACAAACCATGAGGCGGGTAGTACCCTCCAGTGCTGATGCGGGCAGTCTTGTGGGCACGAGGCATCTACAGAATTAGATTTAGTTAGGTTAGATTAGAAGCAATAATTTTTATAATAGAATAAGGCAAAAGAAGCATAAAACTTTAGCAAATAACAAGGGTGAGATAGAAAGCATGAAATGAGTGAAGCAAAAGAAGCTAAAACGACCATTGTTAACTAGGCTTGCGTCCTACAGTCAACACAGCTCTGATACCAATCTGTCACACCTAATTTTAAGGATAAAATAGAGTGCAAAATCTTATGTGCGCCCAGAGATCAGTCACACACATAAGCCGATAAATTATGAATAGTATCATCAAAAATATTTATTACATCACGAATAAGACAGAGTTATCACATAGATATAGCGGAAATAATAAAATATCTCTCGCGGAAGCTCTATTTCACAGGGACGTCGACTGGTTGACCACAAGTCTAGTAGTCCTCAGGAAAATCATTATACCCAAAGCCATCTGTTACCCATTCGGGATTTTTATCCAAATAATGAAAATAAACAAGCGTAAGTACATGTCGTACTCAACAAGTGTAATACGGGGTTCATGAGGCTCAAAAGGCTTGACATAGGTTTAATAGCGTTCAACTTTTAATTGTCACAATTTTAGCTTAAGAGTAGCAACAAGTTGTTTCAATTCCCAATGCAAAACACATGATCAAATGTAAACATGATTAATGAATAGCATAAACAAGTAATACTTAGTGTTCATCTATTCTGTAAATGTTCTAAGGTCGCTCGTGACCGTGAGCACGACTGATATATTAGTTTTACACTCTGCAGAGGTTGTACACTTTCGCTGTGAGTCGTGATACCCATATGCCCGGGTTAATTACTCCCAAAACACTTTCAAGGTGAGAAGGCAGGGGTCACTATGAAGCCTTTCAAAGGTTCGTTTAACAAGTTAGAGCCATTAGATTCACTCGGCAAACAGTTATAGGAACCCCCTGTCAAATGGCACAATTCCTTCACGGCTATACACATAAGAGTAGAGGCTGTCCTATACCCGATTCGGCAAGCTATTCTTACGCCAATAAAGGTAACCACTAACAAACTAGAAAAGGTCCTCATACTGAGCTAAAGCTAGAGCCATGTAGCCCTCATAGCTGTACTGTAAGTCCCGGATGATCACTTACAGATAAGTCCTTAGGGAGAGGAATCTGAAGCATTTAGAAAGTAGCTAAACACTCTAGCCCCCTGTTTCCATGTTGCTAAAAGTCATATTTTAATGTTTATTGCATATACCATTAGTCAAGTTACAAGATCATGGTTTAATTGAGCACTAGCAAAGCTACCCAAATGCATAACCCGTAGGTAACAAGGTAAAAGTTCAATTCTAGGGAATTCCTATCAAGGCGACACATGTAACATGAATTTAATGAATTAAAGTGAATAGGAAATAAGGATGATCCCATGCTATACTTGCCTTGAGCAAAGTACTCTTGCTGGTCCTGCTCGTCAAAGTCGTATCCTTGATCTCCCACGAACTGCTCACCGTCTATACTCGATAACCACAGCAACATACAAGCATCCAGGAGCAATCATGCAAAGCAAACAAGGCTATAGATTAGAACAATATGCCGACAGCATAAAATCAAGATGAAAAGTTTAGAAAATGAATCTACGTCTCGCTACGAACACACAGACGCGAAGATCACAAAAATAGGATCTAAAACGGAAAAGTTATGAATTAAACAAGTTTTCCTATAGCAAAATGATAGATTAAATCTAATCTCAAATTTTAAAAGTTGGAAATCTACTTTACAGTAACATAAACATGTGGATTACTTAATTATGAACCTAACGCAATTTGAACAGATTAAATCGGAGTTAAAACGAAGATTTTATGGCTAAAACAAGTTGAATGGCAAAACTGTGAATAACTGAAAACGTATTTCAATAAAACCGAACCAAAATACACTTTTATAAAGAGAAAACGAAATCTGTAAACGCGCTTTGGACTGCGGGTTAAGTCGAAAATAATTGTAAGGGCGTATTTGCAAAATTCCGATCAAAGGGGTATCTCCGATTTTGGGCCATTGGATTAGATCTGAACGGTCTAGATCTGATCTGGCTGAAAAGAGAGAAAGAAGAGGCAAACACGCCGGAACAGTGCCGTCGGCCAGTTC